TCTTGTCTCTTAAATTAAACATAAAATAATAATTACAAACAAATTAAAGTAAAATATAATATAATATAATAATTAATATCTTAAATGCATCAAGTGCAGTCTCTTTACTTCTTTCTCTGTCTCAACAACCTCCAGCTACCCGCTGCTCCTGCTGCTGCTGCTGCTGCTTGCTGGTGCTGCTGCTGCTGCTGGTGTTGCAGTAGACAGAGACCAGAGGAGGGCTCCCTGAACTTTTTATTTCTTCCTTCTCTCTCAGGTGTACAGGCACCTTATTAAACTGCATCTATACTCAGCTGTCTCTCTACTCAGTGCAGCACGTAGCAGCGAGGTGCTGCTGTTTCTTCTTCTTTATTGCATCTCCACTGAAGTTATCTCCGCCTTTAATTCAGGCTGCAATTCAAGCAGCAGCAGCTGCAGCAACGGGAGCAGCAGCAGCAGCAGCAGCAGCAGCAACGGGATCAGCAACAGCAAGTTAGTTGCATCTATATTTTCATCTCTCTCTCTCTCTACCTGCGCACTTCAATCGGGCTGTCTGCAGCCTACGTCTCTTTCCTGCTGCTCCGCAGGTCTCTCCTCTTGCTGCTGCTGCTGCTGCTGCAGCTGCTGCAGTTGTTTGTTCCCCAGCGAAACTGTTAACAGCAGCAGGATCAGCAGGAGCAGCAGGAGCAGCAGGAGCAGCAGGAGCATCGGGCGTTTCATCGGGAGGTTTTCTGTTGTATATACAGCTGCGTGTACAGCTGAATTAGAGTAGTTTGTTTGTGTTTTTGTTTATTTTGTTTAATAACAATGAGCAGTGTGACGGTAGACTGTCTCTCTCTACCAGAGCCAGGGAGGTACATACACCCGAATGAAGGGAGAGGCTTCCTCCCTTCAACGAACATTCAGCTGTCTCTGCAGCAGGTGCTGCGTAATAGAGATGCAGCTCTCAACAACGACAGCAACAGCAGCAGCGAACAGCAGCAGCAGCAGCAGCAGCACCAGTTGCTGGGTGTGGGGCGCCCGCTGCGGTTTGAGTGTCTGTCTCCTGAGTTAAAGGAGAAGGTAAAAGCAGGAAAAGATATTATTTGGACTACTGACCTCGATGTTGAACTCCCAATCAAAATGGCTGAGAGGTACTGCTGCTGCTGCTGCTGCTGCTGCTGCAACTGCTGCTGCTGCTGCTGCTGCTACAAGTGCTGCTGCAAATGCTGCTGCTGTTGTTGTTGCTGTTGCTGCTGTTGTTGCTACTGCTGTTGTTGCTGCTACTGTTACTGCTGCTACTACTGCTGCTACTGGTGCTACTGCTACTGCTGCTGCTCGTACTGCTAGTACTGCTGCTGCTGCTGCTGTTTGCTGTTTGTTATTTGCTGCAGCGGCCCTGCTGCGATCCCTCCGCAGACCTTAGTGGAGTTTTTCGCTGACTGCGTGCGGCGGTTTGGGTCTGAGCCCGCGCTGCTGTTTGAACCGCATTTCGACAACAGCAGCAACAGCAGCAGCAGCAGCAGCGGCAGCGGCAGCGGCAGCGGCAGCGCCGAGGAAGCAGATGACGGGGGTACTCAGTACGTAGAGTATTTTACGAAAGGTAAAGGGTATAATAATAGTTCAATATCATCATCTACTTCATTTTCTAGCTGCCTATACACCCCAAACTTGCTTCCGGGATGGTGGGGATACACCTGGAGTGCGTACTGGAACGAGTGCTGCTGCTTCAGCAAATCTTTGCTGCTGCTGCATGCACCGCGAAGATGCAGAGTTGCAATAATGGGGGTTAATTCACCTTGTTGGGCGATCGCATTCTTCGGAAGTATCTTTTGTGAAGGCATCGCAGTAGGTGTATATACAACAAATAATGTTGATGCATGCGATTATGTTATTAATCATTCTCAGTGCTTTATTGCTGTTGTAGATACACTGGAAAATGCAAAGAAAATGATTGCTGTTAGAGAACGTCAGCTGCAGCAGCAGCAGCAGCAGCAGCAGCAGCAGCCACCGCTACTACCTGGGGGTAGTAGAGTGCTGCAGCAAATAGTAGTATATAGAGATCGTGTACCGTCGGCCTGGAAGGATTTATATAAAGGAGTAGTAATAGATTATCATACGTTTATAGGTATGGGTGAGAAGGTTAAAGAGAGAGATTTATCAAATGCTATTGAGAGACAGAAGCCTGGTTGCTGCTGCTGCATTGTTTATACAAGCGGTACGACAGGAAAACCTAAAGGTGTAATGCTTTCTCATGATAATATAACTTGGACAGCATCTCTGATGGCTCAGATAGTCTCATTATCAAATAAAGATAGAATTATTTCCTTCTTACCTTTATCTCATATAGCAGCACAAGTCGTAGACCTTGTTGCACCTCTTATCATGGGGTCTACTGTATACTTTGCTCGGCCTGATGCATTACGAGGCACTCTACTTTATACTCTTTTAAGAGTTAAACCTACATGGTTCTTAGGTGTACCGAGAGTGTGGGAGAAGATTGAACAGCGTTTGAAGGAGGTAGGAAGCCGAAGCAGCAGCATAAGACGTCATCTTGCTGCTGCAGCAAAAGATATTGGTTTCAAGGGTGCAACAGCTCTACTTAAAGGCGAGAAACCTTCTCTTCTCTTTCATCCTGTTAATAAGCTGCTGCTGCAGCAAGTGCGCAAGGCTATTGGCTTCGATTGCTGCACTGCTTGGGGTAGCTGTGCTGCTCCTATCGACCCCGAAACACAGAAGTACTTCTTGTCCTTAGGTATGCCTATCAACTCTCTCTACGGTTTAAGCGAAAGTACAGGGCCTCAGACGTTTGTAGCTCCTTCACCTGGCTGGTAAGCTTATCCTGCTTCTGCTTCTGCTGCTGATTCTGATGATGGTGGTAGTACTGCTGCTGCTGCTGCTGCTGCTGTTGTTGTTGTTGTTTTTTGTTTTGCTGCTGCTGTGATCTGGGTTGCTCCTGTGGCTGCTTTTGCTGCTGCTCTTTAGCTGTATTTCCTGCTAATTTTGTACAGGGCACTGCTGCTTCATGTCTTGCTGCTGTTGCTGCTTCTGCATATTTTGCTGCTGCTGCTGCATATCTTGCTGCTGTTGCTGCTGCTGCTGCTCTCACTTCCTGCAGCATACCCTTAAAAAGATATTTGACTGTAATACGAATAAATAAGCCAAATAACTAAATAAATAAATTAAATATATAAGTAAACTAAATAAGTTAAATAACTAACTAACAAACAAATAAATATATATAAATAAATATATATATATGTAAATAAAATAAATAAAATAAATAAAATAAATAAATAAATAAATTAAATTAAATAAATAAATATATATATGTGAGTGTTTGCAGGTTTAAGATCGGTAGTATTGGTCATGCACTACCGGGTACAGAGACGTTGATATTAAGCGGCGAAGGAGAGAGCGAAGGAGAAGTTTGTTTTAGAGGTAGAAATATATTTATGGGTTATTTAAATGATGAAGAATGTACAAGAGAAGCAATAGACAAGGACGGTTTTCTTCATACAGGTGATATCGGTAAAATAGATAAAGAAGGGTTTATATATATTACCGGTAGAATTAAAGAATTGCTTATTACTGCTGGAGGCGAAAATGTTGCACCTCTACCTATTGAAAGTATTATTAGACAAGAGATGCCCTTCATTTCAAACTGCATGCTAGTAGGAGACAGAAAAAAATTCTTATCTGTTCTTATCTGTCTTCATACACAAAAAGATAAGAATGATGCTCCTACCAATGTACTAGCACCTGAAGTACTTGCTGCTATTCACCCTCTTCATAGCAGCAGCAAAACTACACAAGAAGCTGCAGCAGACCCTATCCTTAACCGCCTCATTCAAGCAGGCTTAGAGAGAGTCAACAAAAAAGCTGTATCCAGGTAATCTCAGCAGCAGACACACAACAAAAAATTAAATAAATAAATATAAATAATAAATTAATATCAATAAATTAATATCAATAAATAAGCGCAGGACAATGATGAGATTAGAGCAGTTTACTCAACGTAACAAAAGAAAGAGCTGCAAATGAGGCTCTTGCTGCTGCTACGTATGCTGCTGCTGCTGCATATGTTGCTGCTGCTGCTGCTGCTTGTACTGCTGCTGCTGCTGCTACTACTACTACCACTTCTCTTCCTCTTGCTGCTGTTGCTGCTGCTGCTTCTTGTACTGCTCTTTCTGCTCCTACTACGACCACTCCTCCTGCTCCTCTCGCTGTTCTTACTGCTGCTGCTGCTGCTGCTGCTGCTGCTGCTGCTGCTGCAGGGCTCAGCGTGTATTGGGCTGGCGGGTGCTGCTGACTGATTTCTCTGTTGTTGGCGGCGAGTTGACTGCGACATTAAAACTGCGACGAAAATTCGTAGCAAAGAAATATGAAAAAATTATAAATGAGATGTACGTACAGCCCCAACCCCCGTGCATGCAGCAGCAAGGCAGTCAGGCTGCGAAGCTATAAACAGCTTCTGCTGCTGCTGCTGCTGCTGATGATGATGATGATGGTGAGGAGAAGGATAAGCAACGGTGGTGCGGCGGCAGCTGCTGCTGCTTCTTGCTGCAGCAGGAAGCGATGTGGTGCTGCAGTGCAAGGGAGGAGGAGAGAGACTCGGGGTTGCTGCACATGCTGGTGCTGCTGCTGCTGCTGCTTCTACAGCAGCAGCAGCAACCGTAGGCAAACTTTCTGTTGTTGCAGCAAGCAACAGGCAGAGGCAGTGGCTGTGCACCGTTTGTATGCGTTGCAACTGCAGCAAAGGTGCAGCAGCAGCAGCAGCAGCAGCAGTAGCGATTGGGGCTTCCCTCTGAACTCAGCAGCAGCCCCATGAGTGTTATGCAGAGTATGCAAAGCCTGCAGCTCACTGCAGCATCCCTTGTTTTGCAGCAGCAGCAGCAGCAGCAGCAGCAGCAGCAGCAGGAATGACACTCCCCCTGAGGGTGCAGCGACGCAAAAGGCCCAAAAATTTTCAGCAAATCGACGCCAGTGGCCGTCAACGAACTGCAAATCTGCAGCGTTGTGCTTTGTATAGAAATCATAATATATATAATATATAATATATATATTATATATTATATATTATATAAATGTATATATATATATATATTATATTAA